AATAGTGATAGAATCCTTTAATCCTTTATATGCCATACGTTGTGAGCTACAAATTTGTCCTCTACGAAATTCAGTTTCTTGTAGAATTCCTTGATGGTTTCAAGAAGACGAAGCAGCTATTTCTTTATGCATACTGTTCACTTCAAAGGGAATTGAATCTGTTTTGAGGAGGCTGCTACGTTTCCATTATCTTACAAGGAAACTTATTCTGGGACCTTTTTTGCTCAGCAGGAACTCTCTGTATTTTCCACATTCTCATTATACATGTTTTGGCATGAGCATAAAGCAGGCATGCTCATTTATATTCTGGCTGATCAAGAGGACAAGTCTGATTAATATGAATTTTGGATCAAGGTGAGGGTCATCTTTGTAACCTTCAATAAAAGAAACTTTCTGGAGGGACTTCTCCCAGAGGGGAATATTTCTGTTAGATCAGTGGCCCAGAGGCAATGGAACAAATTTCCTTCCTCCTGTTATCCTCATTTTGCTATCAGCTGCACAGCAGCAGCACACAATAGTGGATTAGAACTAAATATACCATATAACTGAATTGTGTACTCAGATCACATTCCTCACACTGCATATCATTGCAGGTTGTTAATCATGCCTTTCCTTATGCTCTTTCCTTTTCCCTCTCTTAGAGTTTTTCTTCTCTTCCCCTCCCCCTCCCTCAGATCTTTCCCTAAAGCCTCCTTGCAGCTACGCCCTGCCCTGCTCACTCTCCTTTGTTATACTTCTCTTCTTGAATACTTGGGGAAGGCAACTCAGCCAAAGTTAAGGCTGCATTGCCTAAGAGCAGCTTTGTTGCCTTTCCCAAAATTGCCTTTCCTGATCTTGTAGCTCTACTAGCCCAACTGTCAGAACATCATCTCTCACCGTTGTAGTTGGCAAGTGTACTCAGCCTTTTGTTTCCATTTATTTATTTTATTTCCATTTATTTTTATTTCCATTTATACAACCTTTTATTTCCATTTTGCTGTGGAGAGCATCTATAAAGTCTGCTGGCCTCTTCCTAACTTTATCCTGTTCCATGGAGCCAAGCAGTAGAAGACAGGTCTGATATGTAAGATAGCAAATAGTTAAGGGGGAAGGATGTGTTCTCTTTTTTGCAAGCAAGAAGATATTTTCCATTCCTTCTTTGAATGTTAATGATTTAAAGACTGCCAATGTGTTCTAGCCCATCACTGGCGAGGTGCAAGTTCAACCTTCCCTTAGTGCAAATATACCAGGGATCAAAATGCCTTGTCAAGCATGTGTGGGAGCCAGAGCAATATGAACATCTTTTTCATTTTCTTAGGGGAAATTTCTACCCTGTTAAGGCACAGAAACACTGACTTTTTTAGGACAACAGAATTATATCTTAAGCATGCTGCCAGTGGTGAACTGAACTCTCTGTTCCTTCTGTCTTAGATGCCTTTGGTCCTAGGTGTTTTTTGCATACTCTGAAAATGAAGCAGATCACATGTGGTACAACAAGAGTCAGATGTGACTGGTAATTCAGAGGTGCGTGCAGTGGGGGAGAAGGACAGTGCCTCACTCAAGAGCCCTCCACAAGATCTGATTGCAGGGGAAGGCAGTAGTGTAGGAGACAACTACAGATTTGTGCTATAACCATAGTTTTCTCTTTAGCAGTGGGATTTTCATTTAATCAGTTTCTGCCAGATTCCCTCTGTTTCATGCTTTTCAAGTTCACCAAAGGCCCTGCTTCTGAAGCACACTGTCTGGTCCAGTTTTTTTAAATTTTATTATTTTTTCCTGCCTTGCAATACTATGCTTAAAAGGAAGACAAGACACAAAGGGAAGATAGAAAATAGAAATGAGAAATGTCTCATGGGAGTTGCTTGCCCTTACCATTTCATGCTAGTTTAAATACAGTTCCCACACATCACATGTCAAGCTGTACTTGATTGTTTTCAAATAGATGGCAGAAATCATGAGAGGAGGAAAATGTTCTTTTGTGTAACATATTCTTCTTTTGATATATTGGGTTCTGTAGCTGTCAAAACAAAGGCTGTTTTTCCATCTATTATTACAAATGCATTTGGGGTAAATCTCATCTGCAACTCTCTAGTCCCTTGGTTGTTTACTTCAATACATTGTTACTGTTTTAATTTTTCTAAATCTAGTGAAATGATGAATTTTCATTTTTGCTATGATCTTCAGTAGGCAAATGAGGTTATTACTCAGTGGAGATTTAGATCACATCTGGAAATGCAGTTTGTTTCAAGTATTTTCTGCTTTTCTGGCAAGAGGATGGAATATTTAATTTCATTATTCGGCATAGGTTTATTCATTTTACACAATGAAAGGAAATTCATCAATAGTGTCTTCAGCATCCAGAAAAATGATACTTGCCATGACTGTTTCATATACTCCATTTATATTTTATATCTTTCTCATCACTCAGCAATTATTCATCTCTCTGTTGAGAGGTAAAATTCTTCTATTGAGTAACCATAATTTCTCTGAACTCCACAAAGCAATTCAATCCCTGAAAGCAACTGCTTTTACTTAAAGGTGTTTCTTGAGACAAATTCACCAAATACACATAACTGAATAAAGGTTATTTTTTTCTGTTGATTTTCAGGATTATTTAGTGATGCTTTATAAAAGAGGTAAATCAGTGTTTCTACATCTTAACATTCATTTCACTTTTATTAATCATGATGGATTCTTGGAGATGGATGCAAATGTGATAGTACAAGTAAGTAGGAATGCAGTTAAAATGCAACATTAATTCATTCCCAGTTGTTATTAAATGTCACAAGATATTAATAGTTTTGCTGATATTTTCCTTTCTAAACCACATGGGGAAAAAAAGAAAAAAAAAACCAAAACCACAGCAGTGTGATATATGCACAGTCATCAAGATAATTATCTCTGAATCTTTTGTACTATTTCACTGTAGTGTTCCAGACCTATATTTTTGGGAAAGATCAAAGTATGGTGTGCTAAGGGGGTGATAGACTGTATCCCATTCCCACAGAAATCAATCAAAGGTCTTTGATTGGTCTTCCATTTGGGAAGTGGTCACAGTGGGAACAGAAAGAGGCTTAGTACCGTGATACATGATTTCTCTCACCATCAATAAAACAGATTTTCTCATTTATCTTATCCTCTGAGATGTTTAAATTTTGAACGTCAGCTGATTCAAATTTTATGTTCAGGGAATCTAGGCACTGAGATGATTTGTGTTTAGGGCCCTGCACTGGGACTCAGTAGATCTGGGTTTGTTCTGTCATGCATTTCCCAAGTGATCTTATGCAAATCCTTTATTGCTTCTCGCACAAACTCATCAGTAAAATCGGGTAATGTTACTCTGCTTGTTCGAAGGATTTGTGAACATTTGGATGACTTATCTGCAGCAGATTGCTGAGGGCCTTGTGAAAATGCACAATCTTATTTAAATGTACTGCTTTACATATGTATATATCCATCTTTCATTTTATGCTTGTGTATCTATTGCTTTCTTCCAGCCCCCTTATGAGACTGTTACTTTCATTCTTTTCTCTGTAAGCAATCTTTCACAGACTGGCCTTCTCCTCCAAACATGGGCTCAGTGTGGGTCCTGGGCTTTAAGGCAGGTAGTGTGTGGGAGTGGAGACGTAGGTGTTGGAGAGGCACCATGTGAGTTGTCCCTCATGAGGGTAATCTTTGGTGATCTAGCTAACAAGTTTGTGCTTGGGAAACTAGATAGTTGATGCATTTTTGTTCCAGATCGTGTTCACTTAAATGCTTCAGGTGTGCAATTCTCAGTCACAGAAATTCATAGTGATTTTGGTAGTGGATGTCATTTACATAAAAACACAAGAATGCCGTTTCAGATACTACTTTGTAAATATTCAAATAGCAACCTAACACTGTGCATAATTTTTTTAAAGGAAATTGTATTAGTATATATTCACCCAAAATTATTTGCATAAAGCACAGTTTTTCTTTTCTTTTTTTAAAGTCTTTTACCTTAATCTACATGTATTTTTAGCTTAAGTTGCATAATCACAAAAGCCAGTGAGCCTTACTGGAGTGAGCAGATCGGAGCTGTGCATTGTTCCCTCTCAGTCAGCATTATCTGGGATAGAGCAGTAGTTTCAATAGCAAGTGCAGGAGATATAGCTACCTGTTCTCTATTATCTTCAGTAAAGAATTGAAGTGAGAATTCTGTGTCCCTGCAACACTGTTTCTTTGATGTCTTTGCAGAGCATGGATAAATAGTGACCTGCTGATGGCATCTGCAGTAAAACCATGCGGTTTTACATTGCTCTTTGGTATTAAGTGGGCCAGGTATGGAAATTGAAAACTGTACTACTACCAAAAAATTGAGTATATCTTTAAAAGCGTTACATATATGTACATTTGCTGTGGAAACCCAGGGCACTGGGAATATTTTTCTCTCTGCTCTGGGGTGTCCTGACCCCCAGGGGAGCACTGACTTTGACTCTCATTCATGGAGAAAGTTTCCTAGACTTCAAGACAGACTAGAATCCACAAAAGTGTGAAATAGATTATGGAGAGTAGTGTAGGTGTATCACTTGGTGAGAAATTTAGGTTTTGGGATTTTGCTATGTTGTGGATGGAAGCAAGATGGGGGCACAGGGTGTCGTCCTGGGTTTCTTCTTCATGCTTCTCCTTCCTTCTTCTTCTGGGGTTTGGGTTGCACTCTGTAATTGGGCAGAAAAGTCCACATTGCGGGTTCTTTGGGATCAGTTTTTGGGTTTAAAGGGAAAATAATTAGGTGTCAGTTCTTAATTTGATAGTTTAGTCTTAAAAAAACCTTGTAACAAGAGATTGTTAGCCATTTTGTGCTTTGCTAATGAAAAAGTTACCGAACTCACAGTAGTGAGACTGTTTTACTGATAAGAAATAATAAACACTTTAGTCTGAGCATGAACTACTGTCTCAAGTGCCTTCAGTCCAGACCAAGAGAAACCGATAATTTGCGTGCTTCCTTCAAGTAAGAGTCATGGTTTACCTGCATTTTTCTTGATGAAACTTCCATTCAGATATTGTGGATATAAAGCCAGCCAATATGGAGGACCTGACAGAAGTGATTACAGCCTCTGAGTTCCATCCCCACCACTGCAATCTCTTTGTCTACAGCAGCAGCAAAGGATCCCTGAGACTCTGCGACATGAGGGCATCGGCCCTCTGTGACAAACATTCCAAGCGTAAGTCCTTGCTCCATTGAGCCACAGATGTCATTAAAGTCTTGCTATTCCCACACAGCACGTAGATGGGTACCTACCTTGGTGTATCAGTTTCTCACTTGCAGGCACATTTGAAAAGAAAGCAGCAAAAATAATTTTTTTTTCACCTGTGCAAGTGTTAGCTATGAACGTGGTAACAGTCGTGTCTGTGACTGGTTGCCCTTACAGTTCTTATTGCAGGGATCAGTGCAGAACTCAGAATTCTAGTGAAATAGAGAGGATTCCTAACAAATCAAAGAGGATGAGGGAGTATTTAAGTAGGTGAGCATATTGGTTTGAATACACAAGTACTGTTCTCAATGCTAGAGCAAGGAAATTTCGATTGTGAGACTGCCTTCAAATTTTGAATCTGTTTTCTGAATTAGGATATCTCAGTATCCTTCCTAAAAATGTAGTTCCCCATTCCCTATATGTATTTTTTCAACACTATGTCTGAACAAACTCAGAGGAAATGCAGTAATTAGTTAGAACAGGGTGGGGGAGGGAGGAAGGAGGGGAAGAAAAAAAAAATGTGTTGGTATAGAAGTTGTCATCCGTGCTACATGATTTTATGTAGCTTGTGAAATTTTTAGATGAATCACCAAATCATGATAGTTCATATCTGAAATGTACATAAGAAAAAGGAAGTAAAATTTTAAAATATGTGACTATCTTTGTTCTCAAAGTAAAACTTGAAGAAAAAATGCATGTTTATATTGTCTCACTATCAGCTCTTTGTGGTCTAGAGAAGACAGACTGTGGTTCTTCCCACCAGTAATCTGGCAAGCCTGGGCACTTTGCCTTGTGCAAACCACCTGTTTGTTCCTCATCTCCTGAGACTGACAATGCCCAGACAAAGGCATTGTGTGGGTGGGTGCTGAGAAGCTGGGAACCTCATGAATGGACTGTGGTGGCTCTGCTTTAGTCACCTTTAGGATGAGGGCTCTTCCAGGACACTTCCATCTCACAGAACTGGGCCATCAGTGTCTTTTTCCATGCTGGAACATTGGAAGGAAATTCAAGAGAAATTCTTTTAGTACTAGAGCACACAAGAGGTTTTATGCCATTTGGTGCCTATTTGAACCTGTTTGAGATAGGCAGATTTTATTAGTAGGGGCAAGAGGGGATGAAAAAGTATGCAAAGATTTAAATGAGACATAAGTGGTGTGCAGATTTCATACATACGCTATTTTTAAAACTGAAATGAATTTAAAGCCATGACTAGGCCTTTTGACTGCAAGGAGAAATGCACATGCTCAGAACCTCTTAGGATGTGGTGTCTAATTATGAAAAAATAACCTTCAAGGACAATTTCCCAAGCAGAGAAGTGCTTTGCCTTTGTTAGCTGTATCTCCTTGTACTTGTAGGGGGAATTCAATACCATGAAGTGAAATGTAAGCATGACACAGTCTGACACAATGCTGTGAGTTATCCTGTCCCACTTAATTGTTTTGTTCTGTAATACTTCCATTTCTTCCTGCTAATAAGGCCTCCTTGCCCCTGTAACTCAATGCCAAATGCCAATCAGAACTTATTAAAGCCACAATACAGCAATGCTGGATGAAAGAAGGCATTTTATGCCAGAAGGGAGCACAAGGTCTAATGGTCATTGATTAAACCCCATTTTCCAGATCTATGAGTTAGAAAATAGCCATTTAATGTAGCATTGCTGCACTGAAGTCAAGTCAAGCTCATTGAGAATCTGAGTGTGTACAGTACAAAATTGATACAGCAGTGGTAGAACTTCCAAAGTGTTAAAAGGAGTAGGCCCATGTACTGCTGATTGGGGTGGTTTCAGTATAGCTCTCAGATACAAGCAAAGTGAATTAAATACAGCCCATAGCAGCCTAAAAGGATATATCAAAAAACAGTCTGCAAAATCTAGTTATTTGCATGATTGTCTCACTGGTACCTTGACTGTGCATCTGATTTCTCTTTACAGTTGCTAAATTTACAACTGGTGCATATGCATGATCAGTGCCCTGCTCTTGCCTTGTCTTTCAGTCTTTCTCCATAACTGACTTCACTTTTCAAGCAAAGCACCACAACTGGAGTCTCAGTAAACCCTCACACTGTGCCATGCATCCCTGCTTTCTCAGCACAGTCTAGTATCACTGTGTGCTGTATTTCAGATGCTGTTCCAAGATTGTAATGGACGTACCTATTCTTAAGGATACAAGATACAATGTAACACTCAACAAAAACACCTGGATAATGAGCATTTGTTGTGAACTTTTTAATTTACTCCTTTTCCCCTTATTTATTCAAATCTCTGTAGCTCTCATGAAGTCCATTGCAGCTCTTGGGGGGAGAGCCCTTCCATTTGTACAGATTTAGAGAGTGCCATGAATAATTACTGTGCCATACTGTAAAAATAAATTACATATTAATGTCTGTAGTGTAAGTCAACCATCGCAGGATGTTAATAAATTATAATGTCTTGAAGATTTCTGGTTTTCTAAGCTTAGTGGCAGAATCTCTCTTTTTGGCATTAGTGACAGCAGCACTACAAGGCTTCCCTTATAAATCCTTGTGGCTTTGACATGGACAAGATGAGACTACTTCCATATGTACTCATCCTTGTTGCCTATGCTGAGTTTTAATAGCAAGCTGCCAATTTGTGTGATGAGTTGTACTGGGGATATCTGTCCCTAAGAAAAATTATCTCAGACCACCAAATCTATTTATAAGGCAGTGAAAAAAGATCAGGTCAGTAGCTGGATTTTGAATGGTCATTAAGATTCTGATAAGGTGTGATAAAATGTGTTGTGTCTCTAATAGACTGCCTGAAACTGCTTCTTATAACAGCTCTGTAACAGATTGTGCAGTGCTGAGTGAGGATCACAAGAAAATCTTATGTAGTTATTGCAAATGTGTATCAGGGAAAGACCAATCTGTAAGCATAGAGCAGGTACATACATAATGCTGTTCCATGATATTGTCAGACTTTGCAAGTAGTGGGAGAGAATGCCATCAAAAATGTTCTGGAGAGGAGGTGCCAAAGAGATGAATGTCCCTGCTTGTTTAGACTATTAGAGGAGTGGGACTGAGGAAGGTGTTCTTGCAGTCCACAGTGTTATAGTTAAAGATTAAAATTATGAAAGTCAGACTCAAGCAGCTACAAATAGGGAATTAATTTAAATAATATGGAACCTTTCAGTATATGGAAATTTGTGTCACCATTGTTGTTAGAGCAGTCAGCTGGGAACATTGAAGAAATAAAAGAATTAACCCCCACCTCAAATTCCATAAATTTTTAGGCAAGGGGTTTAGGTGTCAAGGAAGACAAGCGTAGGGATACTGTTGCAGTAAGATCATCCTGTCTAAAAATATACTTACAGCAGCATTTGTTCAATTAACAAATAATTGCTAATTTGGTTTTTAATTTTTTATTGCTAATATTATGTTCAGAGATCCTCATAAATGTGCATGGAGTTAATATCATTCTTCCAAACAGCTGGTAGGCTAGATGGGTACATATGGCTGTTTCAACAAATCATACAATAAAGCAGTCAGCTAAAGAAAACTGAGCATGTGAAGTCAGAAAAAAATAAAATGCTTTTTCAGTAGTTTATCAGAATTATTAAAACTATTATTAAATGGTAAATATAAACTGTATAGTTATGCAATATGGAAATTTAAGTCACTCAGGAGTATAACTCCTATTGATATTTCATGTAATGGCCTTAACATCTTAAAGTCATTGCATACTTCAGAAGCTGTAGTAATTTATTTAAATTCTGTATGTTGCTTTAAGGGTTTTTTACTATTAATTTCTTAATATGTATTTGTAGACTAAAACCCTGTTTCTAATTATCCATTACCCATGTGCAAAATTTACAGCAAAATACTTCAAGGAAAGAGGAGCTGCAGTTTCAAGTTTATTGCTCTGTGTGCTACAGTGATCTCAAAACCACAGATTTTGGGATTGTATAGCATTAGCCTCTGTCACCCTGAGCTGGTGCTGTCTGTCCTCCAGACAGATTTCTCAAGCCCGTGTCCCCTGGGTCTGTAGCAGGAGCCATTTAGAGCCCTGCTCCCTTTGGCCACGGGAGGATTTGTAGGAACAGGCAATGCCAGCACCATCTTCCCTGGCCTCTCCCTGAACGGAGAAAACTTCTCAGCTGGTGCACCCCAACCCCATGGGCTGGACAATCAGCATCTTAAAAGTGCGAAGTGGTTTCCAGAGCAGTGGGGAATTCCAGGTTTGGTTTGTAACTCTGAGATGCCAGCCAATGATGAAAGGGGTGTTTTTTCCACTGAGAGTCCTTTTCCACATTTTTAAGCGAAATTCAGGCCTGAAATCAATGCCAGCCTTCCCCCAAGGATAAATGCCACTGTTCTGTCAGTCAGCCATGTAACTCAGCTGGGTTATCTGCTGGGCTTTTTTGAGATTACCTTTGATTTTAAAGAATTCAGAATCATGGAAGCAGCCAAGACACAAATCAAGAATAATCTACTTAAACATGTTGAATTTTTAAAATTAAATTAGATATATTTACCAGTTGTTTAAAGCTGGTTGGAATTTCAGAGACAAGACACCTTTTAGACCTCTGACTGAATATGGATTATCTTTCATTTGCCACAGAGAAAACCAGATGCACAAAAAAGCCTGTGACAGACTATCCCTGCTGGATTTGCTAATTAATATTGACCTTTCCAAATGAATGATGCTTATTGTCTGGCTGAAAAAGAGACAACTTGTTTTTCTTCTGTGTGAGCTTTACATCTAAAATACGCTTTTTATTTCTGCATCTGGTCTCATGTCATCTGAGAGAGAGACAGTCATTACTCTCCCTTTGTGCATAGAGAGGGCCCTGTCAAAATGATGTCCACTTCAGGCAAATTCTGCAAGTTTTCATGTGACAGGAGTGAAACTTATCTGAGCTTCTGAAATGATTTGACCCCGTGCTTGATGAAGGCTTGCTCTCCTTATCCTAATTCTGCATTTATTTTTAAGCATGCACTACAAAGGCATATAT